GTTGTGCAGGGCGCCGACGAATCCCCCTTTGGTTTGGTTAATGCGTTACAAGTCGATGTGCAGCTCTTTCAAGGGCTCGTCTGTGTATTTCGTCCTGCAGGGTCCGGCTTGAGTTTGGTTAGTGCGCTAGCAAGCTTTCTTACTCGTTTCGCTCATGCGGAGCTTCATCTCTCGGTGTGTGGTGGAAGAGCTCTGCTCTCGTCGCCCTGCAGCATCTTTTGTCATTTTTGCTTTGAGCAGTCTCTCTCTCTCTCTCTGTCACTTCAAAACTGGACCGGCCAGTCCTTCTAAACTGACCACTGATCTCTCTTTCCACTCTCTTATTTCAGTGATGTCACTTCCCGTCAGATGATTAAGTGAAATTGATTGATTGATTGCTTATTCTTCGCAACTTGCTGCCAATTGCATAAAATCCCGATCTGGGTGAAGGAGTGGATAGGGAGGGGGAGGGCGTCCGTTTTCTTTCCCCTCTTAAGACACTTTCTCACTTCTCCTGCTAAAAATGCACTCTTTCACCTCAAATGTAACGTTTTTGGCGATGAGTTTCTCGCTTACCTTTTTGGTGCCACGTAACAATTCCGGGTAAATTTAGCGCCACTGCGATCACTTCTGTTCAGCCAGTTTTGTGCTTCAGTGGTAAAATTTTACATTTTGCTCGTTGACTAAATTTTGTGCCTTCCCTCTGCATTTTATAACGCATTTTTTTGCATTTTTCTTTCACAAACGAACGGTTTTGATGCGTTACTGTTCCTCCGTCGCTTCACTTGGCTCAAAAGAGAAATGCATTGTTTCATAAAATAGCCCCCTGTTGCCACATTAGTTCTTTTTTGCGAAATTTTAAACGCTTTCTTGTGGCATTTTGCGAAAAAGTGCTGTTTGACGAAAAAGCAATGCATATCTGCAGTGTCCTGAGCATTTTGCAGTGTTGTTGTGCGAGAAGGATGAAGCAGAATCGTTTTGTGTCGAAGTCGGCGAGAAAGGCACGCAAGGCGCACTTCAACGCACCGTCGCACATCAGAAGGCGACTGATGAGCGCCCCGCTCACCAAGGATCTGCGCAGCAAGCACGGCATCCGATCCATACCAATAAGGTAAGGCACTTCATTCGTTCTTTCTCAGCATTTCTGGTGCTCATTGCTCGGTTGTTTGATCGATGATGTACCGTTTGGTGTTAGTGCTATGTTTGTTTTCACGTTTTTGCAGAGGGAAATGAGTATCACAGTACTTTTGCCATTTTTGCGGTCCTCTAACGCAACAGCTTACATTCGTCCTCAGAGCGGTCAGAATTTTCTGTGAAATAGTCATTAATTTGAATATATATACGATTCTTCAAGGATACCGAACTGTTGGGCTCCCACGATTCCCAGAGACAGATGGAGCGGCTGTTTGGCGTCCTGCGTGTCCGGCTATTAAAATGCACCCAGCATCCATAAATAAGCATCTGTTGCCTAAAATTGAACAGGAATATTGCGCAAGAAGTTTCGTCCGTGCTGCTGGTTGCATTGCTTAATTGCAGGATTGACGATGAGGTGACCGTCACACGAGGCCACTACAAGGGCAACGCTGGCCGTGTGATGCGTGTTTATCGAAAAAAATTTGTTATTCACGTCGACAAAATCACCCGGGAAAAGGCCAACGGTTCAACAGTACACATCGGCATCCACCCATCAAAGGTCTGTTCAGATTCTAAATTCGTCGCGACTTTTCATTTCCTTGCATGTCTGTTGCATTAGTTGCCGTGTGGATATTACAAAATTGTGAAAATCGCAAAATCGCAAAATTGCAAAATTGTGTTTGTCCCAGTGCTGGCCATACGTGAAGTATTACACTGAATGGGACCAGTATTTACGGATAAATGCGAAGTGGCAGAAGTGAGGAGAAGTTGTAGTGGATAGGAAATGCACATGACTTCTTGACTTATCAGAATAGCCCGTTTGCCAACTTTTTTTGCATCTCCGTCAGGTTTTTCCAAAAAAAGTCTTATAGTTGTGACGCTGAATAAAAATGTATATGCATGTTTGCTCTCTCCAGCTGCTGACCGATTTTGAGCGAAATTCACTGGAATTTCTCCATTAATCCTGTGGACCAGATTCTACCTGACGCTGGTTTTGAGGCCAGTTGCAGCCAGTTTTTCGTATTCGTGGTTTGCTTATGCAAATAATATCCGGTTCACTGTGATTCTTTACGACAGCAGTAAAATCGCTGTCCTCATTGGCGCATGTGTCTGCTCGGCTTACGCTATTTACACAACAGCACTGCGCTATATTTGCACATTGCGTTGCTCAGAGATCTCGTGATTGCACGCTGACCGCATGATGCACAGGGCTGTTTATTTAATCAGCAGGAAGATGGCTCATCGAATAAGCGTATCATGCGCTTGTTCTGCAGGGAAGAATAATAGTTACATCCTGTCGTACTGGACAAACAGTGTAAAGCTTTATTGGACAAATAATGAAACGCTGATTTGAAAATGGATCCCAGGGGGAGGAGAGGGGGGG